CTATGCTTTTCCTCTCCTTCGTTCGAGAGGTTCTAACCCAGCAACACTTTGGAGAACCTTGGAGAACCTCGGAGAACCCTGAAGAACCTTAGAGAACCTCAGAGAACCTTGAAGAACCTTAGGGAACCTTGTAGAACCTCCATGCTTCTTCGTCCGAGAGGTTCTAACCCAGTGACGCCGACATCCGTGAGGACACCTTGGAGAACCTCGGAGAACTTTTGAGAACCTTAGAGAACCTTGGAAAACCACGGAGAGCCTTCGAGAACCTTGAAGAACCTTGGAGAACCTCAGAGAACCTCGGAGGACCTCGGAGAATCTTGAAGAACCTCGGAGAACCTCCCTGCTTCTCCTACGAGAGGTTCTGACCCAGCAACACCGGCGGCCGGGAGAATACCTTGGCGAACCTCGGAGAACCTTGCAGAACCTTGGAGAACCTTGAAGAACCTTGGAGAACCTTGGAGAACCTTGAAGAACCTTGGAGAACCTTGGAGAACCTCGGAGAACCTTGGAGAACCTTGAAGAACCTTGGAGAACCTTGGAGAACCTTGAAGAACCTCGGTGAACCTTGGAGAACCTCGGAGAACTTTGGAGAACCTCGGAGAACCTCCCTGCTTCTCCTTCTACGAGAGGTTCTGACCCAGCAACACCGGCGGCCGGGAGAATACCTTGGCGAACCTCGGAGAACCTTGCATAACCTTGGAGAACCTCGGAGAACCTTGCAGAACCTTGGAGAACCTCGGAGAACCTTGGAGAACCTCGAAGAACCTTGGAGAACCTCGAAGAACCTTGGAGAACCTCGAAGAACCTTGAAGAACCTCGGAGAACCTTTAAGAACCTCGGAGAACCTTAAAGAACCTCGGAGAACCTTGAAGAACCTTGGAGAACTCGGAGAACTTTGGAGAACCTTGGAGACCTCGGAGAACCTTGGAGAACCTCGGAGAACTTTGGAGAACCTCGGAGAACTTTGGAGAACCTTGGAGAACCTTGGAGAACCTTCGGAGAACCTTGAGAACCTCGTGAACCTTGAAGAACTTTAAAGAACCTTGAAGAACCTTGGAGAACCTTGGAGAACCTCGGAGAACCTTGAGAACCTCGAAGAACTTTAAAGAACCTTGAAGAACCTGGAGAACCTTAAAGAACTTGGAGAACCTCGGAGAACCTCCCTGCTTCTCCTACGAGAGGTTTTTCTGACCAGCAACACCGGCGGCGGGAGAATACTTGGCGAACCTCGGAGAACCTTGCAGAACCTTGGAGAACTTGGAGAACTTGGAGACCTTGAAGAACCTTGAGAACCTTGGAGAACCTCGGAGAACTTGGAGAACCTTGCAGAACTTGGAGAACCTCGGAGAACTTGAGAACCTCGGAGAACTTTGGAGAACCTCGGAGAACTTTGGAGAACCTCGGAGAACCTCCCTGCTTCTCCTTCTACGAGAGGTTCTGACCCAGCAACACCGGCGGCCGGGAGAATACCTTGGCGAACCTCGGAGAACCTTGCATAACCTTGGAGAACCTCGGAGAACCTTGCAGAACCTTGGAGAACCTCGGAGAACCTTGGAGAACCTCGAAGAACCTTGGAGAACCTCGAAGAACCTTGGAGAACCTCGAAGAACCTTGCAGAACCTCGGAGAACCTTTAAGAACCTCGGAGAACCTTTAAGAACCTCGGAGAACCTTGAAGAACCTTGGAGAACCTCGGAGAACTTTGGAGAACCTCGGAGAACCTCGGAGAACCTTGGAGAACCTCGGAGAACTTTGGAGAACCTCGGAGAACTTTGGAGAACCTTGGAGAACCTCGGAGAACCTTGCAGAACCTTGGAGAACCTCGTAGAACCTTGGAGAACCTCGGAGAACCTTATAGAACCTCGAAGAACCTTGAAGAACTTTAAAGAACCTTGAAGAACCTCGGAGAACCTCCCTGCTTCTCCTACGAGAGGTTCTGACCCAGCAACACCGGCGGCCGGGAGAATACCTTGGCGAACCTCGGAGAACCTTGCAGAACCTTGGAGAACCTTGGAGAACCTTGAAGAACCTTGGAGAACCTCGGAGAACCTTGGAGAACCTTGGAGAACCTCGGAGAACCTTGGAGAACCTTGAAGAACCTTGGAGAACCTCGAAGAACCTTGGAGAACCTTGAAGAACCTTGGAGAACCTCGAAGAACCTTGGAGAACCTCGAAGAACCTTGAAGAACTTTAAAGAACCTTGCAGAACCTTGGAGAACCTCGGAGAACCTTGAAGAACCTCGGTGAACCTCCCTGCTTCTCCTACGAGGGGTTCTGACCCAGCAACACCGGCGGCCGGGAGAATACCTTGGAGAACCTCGTAGAACCTCGGAGAACCTTGAAAAACCTTGGAGAACCTCGGAGAACCTTGGAGAACCTCGGAGAACCTTGGAGAACCTCGGAGAACCTTGGAGAACCTCGGAGAACCTCGGAGAACCTTGGAGAACCTCGGAGAACCTCGGAGAACCTTGGAGAACCTCGGAGAACCTTGGAGAACTTTGGAGAACCTCTGAGAACCTTATAGAACCTCGGAGAACCTTGGAGAACCTCGGAGAACCTTGAAGAACTTTGGAAAACCTCGGAGAACTTTGGAGAACCTCGGAGAACTTTGGAGAACCTCGGAGACCTTGGAGAACCTCGGAGAACCTTGGAGAACCTCTGAGAACCTTATAGAACCTCGGAGAACCTTGGAGAACCTCGGAGAACCTTGAAGAACTTTGGAGAACCTCGGAGAACTTTGGAGAACCTCGGAGAACTTTGGAGAACCTCGGAGAACCTTGAAGAACTTTGGAGAACCTCGGAGAACCTTGAAGAACCTCGAAGAACCTTGAAGAACCTTGGATTACCTTGAAGAACCTCGGTGAACCTTGAAGAACCTCGAAGAACCTTGAAGAACCTTGGATTACCTTGAAGAACCTCGGTGAACCTTGAAGAACCTCGAAGAACTTTAAAGAACCTCGAAGAACTTTAAAGAACCTCGGAGAACCTTGGAGAACCTTGCAGAACCTCCCTGCTTCTCCTTCTACGAGAGGTTCTAACCCAGCAACACCGGCGGCCGGGAGAACACCTGTCTGCCCCGCCTGTACCTGGTCCGGTTTGAAAGGGGGGGGAGGGAGAAAAAGGGGAAAAAACAAAAACAAAAAAAACTCCCGCGTGTATATGTGGGGGTGAGGATGGCGTAAGGGGTAGTAGGCTGCTCGTGTCCTTGGAAGATGAGGTACTGTTAGTAACATTATTATCGTTGGTTGGTATTGTCAGTATTGCTATTGTCTTTGTTGGTCGTCAGAAGCTATTTTTTTTCATTGTCATTGCTGTTATTGATCATTATTATTATCATTGTCGTTGTTATTATTTTTTATCATTGTTACTATTATCATTATCATTATGACCGTCATCATCTTCATTAATGTCATTATCATTATCTTCATTAATGTCATTATCATCATCTTCATTAATGTCATTATCATCATCTTCATTAATGTTATTATTATCATCATCTTCATTAATATCATTATCATCATTATTACTATCAGCATTTTCATCATTGTTATTATATCATCAGTACTACTAGTAAATCAATACTATTACTAAATCACCATAAATATCAATGCAATCACCATCACCATATATTTTTTGCAATTACGCACATCTTCCTCGCCATCACTATCATTACCTTCTTCATATCTTCCTTTGTCATCCTAGTCACCATCACTATCACCATCATTGTATTCTATCGCTTTCATCTGGCCTTTTCTTGGGAGCCAGATGGAAGCGATTTCTTTTTTTTTTAAGTTAACTTATACAGATAATTAGCGATGTAAATGAGATGAGAAGTTGATCTAAGTCGGTGGGAGAAACGAGAGAGAGAGAGAGAGAGAGAGAGAGAGAGAGAGAGAGAGAGAGAGAGAGAGAGAGAGAGAGAGAGAGAGAGAGAGAGAGAGAGAGAGAGATAAAGAGATAAAGAGAGAAAGTAAAAGAAAAAGGAAAAGAAAAAAAAGAAAAAGAGGGAGAAAAAAAAAGAGAAAGTAAGCCAAAAAAAAAAAAAAAATCAAGAAAAAAAAAAAAAAAAAGCAATTTCAGAATCGCCAATTCCCTTCGCCGCTTTCCCTTCCTCTTGCCTTTGATTTATAACCGCCAGCTTGTTAGCAGCTGAGCCGAGGTCGTTAAGCCGTCATATAGAGTTCGTTTGTCATGTCTGTCAGTCGCTCCTGCATGTCTTTTGGGATAATGTTCAGTCCTCCAGATGGTTTGATGATACCACCAGCTGATCGTTTATTTTGTCTTCCTTTTTATTTTATTTTATCTTTTTTTATGTACAAATCATGAAAGATTGGGGTATTTTTGTTTTGTTTTTATTATTATCTTTTATTTTCGTTTTATGTTACTTTACTATTTTTTTTTATCTTCATTAAAAAAATAATTTCTTTTATATATTCTTATTGATTATTATTATTATTTTTTTATTATAGATATTACAATTATTGCATCCACCGAGATGAGGTATTATTATTGTTTGTTTTAACTTGTCTTCTTTGTCTGGTTATTGCTTAATTCAGAAGTTACTGAAGTATTGTGGGGATTAGTTATGATCGACTGACCGAAGACCGAAGACCACTTTAGACTTTAGTAATGAATCGGAGTTGATTTGATTTTTTTTTTTTTGGGGGGGGGCGAGAAGGGTAGACTAAAGGAAAACCTGAAATAAAGATTTTTTTTTTTTTTTTTGTAGATTGATTAAGACTGATGAAGTTAATTGATTATTAGACTTTGGGGGCAGTTGAGGCTAGTTTGTGAGTAGATTTGCGGTAAGAGTAGCAATGGGGTAGATGAGGGTACATTATTATGGATATTTAAATAGATTTAAGAAGAGTAGATGAGGATATTGTATTAGGGAAGCTCTTAGGTAGGAAACGAGTGACGAGTTATGGTCATCATTATCCTTTATGTTGCTTATTTCTTTGTTTATTCATTCTTCTTATCTACTCCTTCGTTCTCTCAAAA